AATTATATAACTAAATCAGTATTGATATTTAATATTCTAACAAATTTAATAAATTAAATCTATACTATTCAGAAAATAATAACCATTTTTTGGAAATAACGTCAGATTTGGAGTATTAAATATAAAATATACTAAATACTGTATACTGTACAGTATATTGCAGCCTGCGATCTGCGCGTAACGTGATCGACTGGCGACAATCGGCTTCGCGTGAGCTGAAACTCGACGGCTGACATATCAAAGAAACGATTTGAAACTTGCTAGTATTACGGTTGAAGACAGGCAAAGCAATGAACCAGAGAATATCCGTAATATAAAATTTGGTGGGAAAAATCAGATTAATATACTATAAAAATCACGTATAAAAATGGTAGAATAAGTAACTAAGAATAAGATAAGTCGGTCAAATTAACATGCCCCCTTTTAATAGAAAAGTTCTTTTTTGTGTGTTTGTTTGAGGAAGCACGAATTTAGGTTAGAGTTAACGATTGACTCGTCGTCTATTACACCACGTGACTAATAATATGTGCACTTTTAGAAGTAGAATTTTGTATAAAAGCAATTTTTTATTTTATTTATTTTCGAAAAAAAAAAAATTAGATACGGCTATCAATTTTACTGTAATTAACGTCAACAATACTCGAGCTAATGATTTAAACCAAACTAGGCTCCTCTATATAATATTGATGTTCAAAAAGAGATTTTACGAAATCTCCAATATCTTTTTCTCTGACAAGGTGAGTGATGTTAGCAAGTTCGTTTTCTTCGGCAAGGTGAGTGATGTTAGCAAGTTCGTTAGGAGGTTCGTTAGAAGGTTTGAGTTCGATCAAACTGACATAATTCTTAAGAGGGTCATTTCCGATAAAATAACGAAACTTTTTGTTCGGACGCCACTCACGAAGGACTTTAAGTTCGGATTCACTCAAAGGACGTATAATGGCGAATTCAATCAACGTTTGAGTTAATTCGAAATGCCCCAAGATATATAATTTAAAGCGTTTAGAGTTATTAGAGACTAAAGTTAAGACCGGAAGTCCAAAAATGAAAAGTTGAATTAAAGGAAGATAAACCATAGAAAGGAAAGAGAGGACGTAAAATTTCCAATCACGATATCCGAATAAAAGAAAGAAAAGGATGAATAAAGTATATAAACTAATAAAGGTGGGAGTAATATAGCGAAGGTTATACGTATTAATTATATAGATAGAACTTAAAAAGTATGATAAATAAACAGCCGGTGTGGTTAAGGAGCTTGCTGAGTTGAATGATAAAGTTGCGATAAGAGAGGTGACGCAGAAGAAGAAAGTCAACCAAGAAATCTTGGTAGGTGCACTTATACATTTTCTAAAAATAATGTCTAAATTCCTTTCTTTATCGACCGAATTATCCATTTTAATGTTTTCGTTGTCCTTGAAGTGCTTCCCTGCTTAGAGTTACTGTTAAAGTGGTCGCGAGAATTATTTGAAATCACAACTTATAGCATTCGTTTAAGCCAACGTTCGGTTTTTAAAAAGCTGAAATTTTTTTACCAAAATAAAAGACACGGGGGTGTTCTCCGTACATATTTATACAGCATACATACATACAACTGCATTTGCATGGTTTTCGAGTACTGTAATAATTATATACTGTAAGTATTTTCGGATTACTTTACCGGCATATACAGTATACTGTAGAATTCGTTAGATCAAATTTAGATAATAGAATAAGTAGAGTAAATAACAAAATTAATTAACAACATAAATAAAATTACGTATACAGTATAATAAATTTTAAATAATAAAATACAAAGTAAAAAACCATATACCTAATCTATTTTTTATGTTTTTATTAATTTACAATTACTGTATATAATAATTTACTTCAATATTAAAATTTATATATTGTATTATTCATCATACGAAATTTTCCATTTGATAAAATAAATATTATAATACGAGTGAAAATTTCAAAAATCCCAATAATAACAATGTCAAAATTATTAAATCTAAAAATTTTTTTTCCAGTAGGTAAACTTTATTTGATTTATACAACATTATTACATATACATTATAATAGAAATAACATCTCTTATATAAAATAACAACAGGTTTAATACTAGCTTACCTATACAATTTACAGTATATCTAATTAATTTTAAAAATAAATTTTAAAATAATATTGTATATGCTAAATATAGTTAAATGGTGACTATATCTACTTATTCAAAAAATTTGATAAAATATAAGAATAAAAAATAAAAAATAAAAATTATTAAAACTAAAGCTATAATAATAAAAACTATTAAAACTAAAATTACATCAAAAAAACTATAAAATCTATAAAAATAAAAGTAATATCTTTAAACATGTCTTTAAATAAGTATGTGGTCCTATTTTTAAAATTTGTTGTTACTTATTAATACAATATATTTTTTGATAATATGGATTTTTAAAGTAAAATTAATATAATTTATTGTTATAATAATTATTGCTATTGTTATTAAAACTAAAAACCAATTTGAACCAATTTGATTCTTGTTTTAATATTTTGATAAAATCTAATTAGATAATTAAAAAATAATTATTATTTGAAGGAAATAAACTAATTTTGATTTTTTGATTAAATAATATTTTAAAAGTTTTAGAATAATACAACAAGTATTATTATAATAAAATTATTTATAAAAATTGTATTAAAATAAATAAAAAATTCAATAACTTTGTTTATTTGAATATGTTTTTTTAAAAAAACTTAATTTAGCAAACATAACAATATATATAATTTTTATATTATAGTAAAAATAAAAAAAAATACAAAAAACTTTTTTAAAGATTTTTATTTTATCAAAAAAAAAATAATAAACACTTTAAGAAATTTTATTTTCAAAAAAAAACTTTCAAACTTACTTTATATTTTCTTAAATATTATAGTAACAAATTTAAATAATTATTTTTTTCTATAGTTTACAAAAAAAGTAACTCATATATTAAATATAAATAATATATCAAGTATAAATAATATATCAAGTATAAATAGTATATTAAATATATTAATTTATAAAAACTCTTTCCACTGATCCTTTTGCCAACCCAAAAAACAGACATTCTCAAAAGATTTTATATTTTTATAATAATAAAATCTATATACTTTTCTTAACAACACTGGTTTTTTTAATCAACAGAGCAAACAGAAACTATCACTTGTTTTATTTTTTCTTTTCAAAACACTTTTCTTGTTTATTTTTGTGACTAAATACAAGAAACTTATCTAAAAGATCTATGGCAAGAACACCTTTATAAAAAAAAAATTGACAAAAAAAAATATTCTTCAAAGATCCCAAAAGAATTCAAGAATCTAAAGAAACAAGAATAAAGAAATCTCCAGTCTTCCCATCATATTTTTGACTTCACATTTCTTTTTTCTCAAGCATGCTTCCTCTTTTTCTGATTTTTCTAGAAAATTTTGCCTACCTCTGTTTGACTCTGAATTTTTGATTACACCAGACTTCCTAAAAGATGATTGGTCAAGGCTACAGATTGGTTGATCACATCAGCTACAGAAAAAGTAAACAAGATACATACTCCTCATGTGTTTCCAATCACACAATACTAAAGCAATAATATGATTGGTTTTTGCAAAAGTTGAACAGTTTTTAGTTAAAAAAGTAGTATAAAAGTATTAGATGAAGTTGAAATTGTGAATAGAAGAGAAATGACTTCTTTTTGTTTCCATCTTTTTATTTTATTTTTTTTCTTTCTTATTCTTTCTTGAAAATAGGAAGTAGCAACAAGGTCTAGGTTCTATTCCAATCTAATAACAAGTTAAAGTATTAATATTTATTTTGAAAATAGTTGGAGAAAGAGATCTTGAAACTATCTATTAGTTGAATGAAGCAATAATTCCAAAAGATATGACTTGGGAGAGAAATCAACAATGAAAAACTAATATTCTTTCTAGTTAGAAGTCTTCAAACATAAAGTCTTAAAAAATATTCTTCTGAAAGTGTCCTTAAACATTCTTGGACATAAACTACTCCAATAGAAATTAAACAGTTTGACTGGTCACAGGTGGTGAGAAGTGTGGAATCATAAGAAACTTGGGTTTTAAAATTCATAGAGATAACTTCTTCAATAATAGTTAAAATAGATGATAGTTTTTTTCATTTTTTTTCTTCAAAAAATTCCTTTTTTATTTTTTTTTCCTCTTGCATAGTTACTACAAATAAAGATGGGTCCCTAAATTAAAGGTGAGGACATAATTCAAATGTCCCTCACTATTAAAAAAGTTTTTTTTTAAATATAAAGTCAAAAAAAAAACTACCTACAAAGGTCTTTTGCAATTTAGGACACTTGATTCAAATGTTTTTTAAATTATGTCCCTATTAAAGTAATGAATAAATAATTATGTCCCTTCAAAAGGGACATAATTAATCTGTGAAATTTTATATGCTAAATAGTTTAGGAACCCATCCTTAACTACAAGAGGGGATGATACAATTTGGGTTTATAGTAATAAGGAAACATGTATAGTCATAACTGTAAATGTGATCTGCAGGTTTTGATTCTATTGAAAGTTTGGGATCTTAATTCTATCCTTTAGAGAAACAATATATTATCTTCATAAATTATATCTAGAGGCTTTGACTGTTGACAAATGAGTTGGATCAAGAAAATTTATACTTTGCAGGCATTCTCAACTTGTAATGATTCTTTATGATTTAATAAATAAATGATACCAATCTGATTACAGGATTAAAAAATAAATAAATAAATAAATGGTAGATTAAATATAAGTGGTATATCAAATATAATAAGTATAATAGATATAAAATAAATATATATATAAGTAATTTGAGAATAATCAAAAAGAAAGAAGACAAGCAATAACTTAATAATAAAAATATTTTATTATATTTTATTTAAACTGATTTTACAAAAATCTTACAATATTGCTTTGTTAACATATAATTTATAATTCTGCCAAATTAATATATCTTTTTTAAAAGTAATCTAACTTTTTGAGTACTATTGTATAGCATGATTCAAAAAGAAATAACTGATTTATTATTTTACTATAACAATATTTAAAAATTAAAAACTAATATTTTTTTATAAGTTCTAAAAAAAATATTTATATTTCAAATTTTAAAAAAAATTTTAAATAGCTTATTCCCACTTATTAATTTATAAAATATAAATAATCTTAATTTAACTAAAGTTAACAAATAATATATATATATATACAGTATATATTATAGTTTTAAAAAATATAAGTAATACAAATATAACAAAAATATGAAAAAAAAAAAAACTCTTTCCTGCAAATCTCAAAATTCCTAAAAATTTCCTTTTTTAGTAATACACCCAAAACACCCAAAGAAACACTCAAAGAAGACA